TTGTTTGAAGCTATTTCCCCTTGTTCTGTCTCGACATCCCTGTGAAAATCTCTCTCCCTCTTCCTTGTCAGTTCCCTTCAGGTACTGGAAGGCCACTATTAGATTACCCCAAAGCATTCTCTTTTCCAGGCTAAGCTATCCTAATTCCCTCARTCTTACCTCACAGGAGAGGTGTTSTATCCCTCTGACCATGCGTAAAGATACTCATGTGGCCTCCTCTGGACTTGCTCCAACAGCAACAGGTCCATGTCCTTCCTGTTCTGGGGCCACCAGAGCTCGATGCAGATGGGGAATCTTCCATCCATCTGGGATCTCAGCAGAGCAGAGCAGAGGGGCACAAACCCCTCCCTGGCCCTGGGATGCAGCCTGGGACACGTTTGGTTCTCTGAGCTGTGARTGCTCTCCCCCATCAGGCCCTCCAAACCCTTCTCAGCAGGGCTGGTCTGATCTGTCCATCCCCAGCCTGTGGTGATCCTGGGGATTACCTCAACAGAGTTGCAGTGCCAGCACTTGGTCTATTRGATCTTATGAGGTTCCCACAGGCCACATGTTCCCAGCTTGTCCAGGCCCCTCTGGATGATATCCCATCCTTCAGGTGTTTCAGCAGCCCCGCTCAGCTTGGGGTCATCTGTGAATTTGCTGAAGCTGCACTCGATCCGTTTGTGCCATTGATGAAGATATTTAATAACACTGGTCCCAGAACAGACCCCTGAGGGAGCCACTTGTCACTGATGTCCATTGGGACACCAAGCCCTTGACCACGACTCTCTGGATGTGACTGTGCAATCAATTTCAAATCCRTCTCYCTCCAGTTTGGAGAGAAGGATGTTGTGGAGGGTCCTGTCAAAGGCCTTACAGAAATCCAGATAAATGATATCCACAACCCTTCCCTTGTCCATGGATGSAGTCACTCCATMTTAGAAGGCCAYAGGGTTGGTCAGGCAGGACTTTCCCTTGGTGAAGCCATCCTGGCTGTCCCAAATCACCTCCCTGTTYCCCATGTACCTTAGCACAGCTCCAAGGAGGATCTGTTCCATGGTCTTCCCAGGYCCAGAACTGACCCTGACAGGTCAACAGTTCCCAGGTTTCTCCTTTCACCCCTTTTAAAGATGAGTGCCATGTTTCCCCTTTCCAGTCAACCAGGACTTCACCTGAATACCATGAATTTTCAAATACCATGGAGCTTGACAACTATACCAGCCATTTCCCTCAGGACTCTGGGATGTATCCYATAGACTTACTTTTGCTAAGGTTCCTTAGGTGGTCACAAACCTGATCATCTCTTATAATGGGAGGGTCTTTGCTATTCCAGACCCCAACCTTCTGTCCATCTTCTCAAAAGGTGTGAAAAGAGAGAGGTGATGACTGTGGCAAAAAAGTTGTTGAGTACCTCAGCTTTCTCTTCATCTGTTGTTACCAGTTTATTTTTAGCATTGTTAATCAGGGGATGCAACCTTCTTTGACCTTCCTTTTCTGGTTGGATCTTCATTTCATCTTCATTTAGGATAGCCTGGAGGCTTTCAGAGCTTAATGCAGCTGCCTGCAGCTCCAAACAACAATACACATGCCAAGACTATCTGGATCACATCACTGCTCAGCAGAGCCCTTGTCTTGCCTCCAAGACACTCCCATTTTAAGGCAACACAGTGGTCAAAGCCCTTTACTGTGTGCTTGCTGAGTCAACTCTTTACCAGTCTCTTTGCTTCACTTAGATGATCTCAACTGATCAGACAATAATGAAGGATCTGTACTTATTTTTTKCTCCTGAAGTTCTGAAATTCATTAAACCACTGTGAAGATTAGTACAGATACACTTGAGTGCTAGTAGAAAAGTCTCGTATTGCTTTATGTTCTCCAGGAACTGTAGAACAACGTATGTGAAAATCATGACAAACCATTCTGTTAAGTGGACACTCTACATAAGTATTGTCATATAGTTATTTTTTCCCTTCCAAATTTTTGAACAGAAGTTGCTCCCAAATAACAATGTAAATTAAAGTGCAGCCGTCTATAGTGTTAGGAGCTGTGCTAAGAATCAAGTCTTTTATAAACACAGACAGTAGAACACTCTTAAAAAAATAGCTTTGCAGTGCTAAATGATTATGGTAGAGTTTTTTCTTTCTTCTAGCCTTTCATTTGTTGTTTGTTTTTTGTTTTTTCTATGTACCATACTGAAAGCTACATATATTAGAATTGCTTGTAATCTGTAAACTGAAAAGAGAACACTTGCTATCACTTCCCTTTTTCTAAAAGCATATACCAAATAACATGCAAATTCTTCAAGCAGCTGGTGTTAAAATATACTTCTCTTCCTCATATTAGAGCCTAATGAGACATAAAAAGAACCTCTGACATTTCAAGATGCCTCTCATTTACAGAAATTAATATGTTTTAAGACTTCATCATCTGTGTGGGGAAGCTTGATCATGTGCCTAAAACAAAAAACAACTGATTAGTAGGTAATCCTGGATGGGAATAATTACAGGGTGCTACCTTAGAGGTAACAGAGAAGTCAGAAACAGTGTAGCAAGGCTCTCAAAGCTGCACAGCTGATAATTATTCTTTTATTCTTAGCTTAGTGGCACCGGAGTGTTATACTTGAAAAGCTGTTAACCTCAACATTTTCCACCACATTGTATAACAACAAAAGTGTGGGCCAAATTTAGAGCTTTGGTACTATTCAGAAAAAAGCTTTCCTACGGTTGTTCTGCCCTTCAGAACTGCAGGTGTGCTTGTTTGATGGGTACTTTGCCATCATTTAGAAAACCTTTTATTTCCATTTAAGATATAAGGACTGGTCTGACAGCTCTGAGTTCTAAGAATTGTCAGGAGGTGCCAAGTCCAGCAAGTCTTAAGCCTGGCATTGGCCATCAGAATTTTACTTAATCTGAGTGGTCAGTCAGATCCCCATGGCAGTCACAGACTCTTGAAATGTGGCAGTCTGAAGTGGGAGATCGTGAGAAGCATCCTGAGGGTGAGGAACTTCCTTGTGAGTGATGGATTCTGCTTTCTAATGTGCTTTGAGATATATTGGGAAGGTGAATAGCAGATAAAGATTCTGGAATTTCAGGTGCTGTTGGTAATATATATATTGTTGCTAAATAAATAGCAAACTGACYATTTTATTACTTTTACCTAGATATTGCTTCCCTTGAGTTTATTTTGTTGTTTTCATACTACCTGGAAAAACCTTATCTGCGCACTCTCCTGATGTTAGAAGGGATGATCTTGTTAGGATAGACATGGTTCCTAGTATCTGATTTTCAAGAATTGCTGTTGGGCAGGATACAGGCTAGCAGCAAAATAACATCATACAAATTTGTTTCACTGTGTTCAAGAACTAGTGAGCTGTGATGTTTGTTGTATTGCAGAACGTCATGGATTCTCTTTTGATAGATAAACAGACTGGGAAATCCTGACTATATTTGCCAGGGAATCCCTTTGGATGAGATAGCCTTTATAGTAAGTATTYATCTGAAGAACAGTGTTTGCAATTTAATGGGATGGTTTTTGTTGAGTATTGGTTAATGTGTTTACTGGAGTGGCAAGCACTGCAAAATTTTCTTTAAATGCTTCTGCCAATTAATCTCTATTCAAATTTCTTCTTGCATTACCTTTGTCCAGAGGTAAGTGAACATTATTTAAAACTGTGGGGTATTCTTGCAATAGCCTCAAGTATGTGAAGTTTAACAGCTGTGAGGGAACTTGAAGTTTCTGACCATGTGCTTAGAAACATAAAAAGATATGAGTCTGGTATCCAGGATGTTGTACAGTAATGAACTAAGCTATTTGGCAGTAGTCTGTGCTGGGGTATTTTTATCTGAAAAGGAGTTTTAGTTAATTTTTTCCTGATTTTTGCTGGTCTGATATTCTGAAAATAAGGTTAAATGATGTGGAACAAGGAAAATGTTATGGATGTGAAACAAGTCAGGGGAGATGTTAGAGATGTCCACAACAAGCCCACTGAAGAAACATTTCTGTACCTAAGAGTCATGTTCATATGTAACTGATCTATATGTGACCATACCAGCAGTTTCTAAAGCTGATGTTTCAGATACACAGCTTGCAAGACAGCATACCTGGGCTAAAACTCACTCCGGACCGAGTTCAGTGTGGAGAAGCATTCTTGCCTTTAGAATAAAATAATAGCAAGGCTTGATAGGTGAGGCTTGCACTCTACCTATAGGATTATTTTTCTGAAATTGTTTGCATGATGACAGATTTCCTGTTGTTGGTGAGTTATTGAGGAAGGGAATGTCTTCCTGTCTGTAACTGAAACTTTTGCAAGACAATTCCAATTGAACATTGAGTGATTTGGTTAAACCATGATTTTCCATATCATTATTGGGTCCATTTCCCATATTGTGTTCCTACGTCCAGTTCCAAAACTTTTTCATCTGCTCTTTTGTACTTACAGCCACCATGCATCACTTTGTGCCTGCTCTAGCACACGCACTCACATACACACAGGCTCTGGGTTATAACAAACACGGCTGCAGCTCTTTGAGCACTTCTTTGACAGCTGGTCCTTCGGCGGGCCAGCGTTGTGCGCAACACTTACATGTGCTCTTACACCTTTCCCCACGTTTATCTAAACGTTAACCCTTTAATTTCTTCGGCGGTGGATAGGTATGAGAAGGACGGCTCGGACGGCTCTGCACGGCTGCCAGCGGGATGTGAGTGCGTGTAGGTGCCCTGCAGCAGCCGTGCCCCGCGCTGCCCGGTGCCGGGCGCGGTGCCGAGCCGGACACCTCCCCCGAGGGGCGGCGCTGCGGGCGGCCGCGGCCCCGGGGAGGGCGCGGAGCGGAGGCGAAGGGCGAGCCCGGCAGCACCAAAGTTTGGTGCCCCGCGCAGGGGCAGAGCCGCTGCCCGCGCCGGCAGAATGCGGGAGCAGCGCCCGTGTCCGCACACCGGGCAGCGGAGGATGGACGCGCTGGCGCTCCCCTTGAGCCCTGTGAAACGCCCGCGAACTGAGCGCGCCTTTCCCTGTCTTTTCGCAGAGGAAGCCTACCAAAAGCTGGCTAGCGAGACCATGGAGGAGCTGGACTGGTGCCTGGACCAGCTGGAGACCCTGCAGACCAGGCATTCCGTCAGCGAGATGGCCTCGAACAAGGTAGGAGCCCGCGGGCTCGGCCCCGAGCCCCGCTCCCCTCGCAGCGCCGGCCGGAGGTCGCGGCAGCGGGGCTGGCAGGGTCGGGGGCGGCCGGAGGGGCCAGGGGACTGGAGCGGCCCCGGGGGGAGAAACTTGTCGTGGGCGARTAGTGTCCATATGCGGGTTGGGTGCGAGAGCTGCTTCTGTTGTGATTTCATACACCGTTGTCTTAAATTTCAGTGCAAGTTGTGAAAGTGAGGCAGGTCTTTGAAAGCTACACTGYTTTCTTATGTGTCTCAGTTTAAAAATAAAAAGGGATTGTTCGGGGCTGCTGGCAATAATCCCTTCAGTTGCTCATTGTTTTCACAGAACCCCATAAAAAATTAGGGATCTTTCCTGGAAATGGTGTAGAAAGTAGCATGACAGGTGATAAAGATAGTTCTTGAATGCAAGGGAGCTGTATGGTGGATTCTATTTGTAAACAATGATGATGACAACTCTCATAACACTATTTGTTATGAAAGAACACGCTCTCAACCAAGGTGCCATCACAATAGACACCTACATTCAGAGGTGTGCTTCTGCGACAGAGTGCGCACTACCTTCGCATCCTGGAAGCTGAGGATTCACATTATCTGGGAACTCTGTGCCAGGATCTGCTATGGTCTGTATGAGCTTTGGTTTTGCAATTTGAAATTGAGTTTCTACATCATTCATAAGAAAACTTTCTTTCTTCATTTTGGTTTGCAAAGAATATGTAGGTGCATTTCTGTAGTAAGTTTTTTAAAGCCAAATTAATAAAACTGCTGTGTTACTTCAAAATTTATTTTTATATTTTTCATCAACTGAGTCCAGGGACAGCAACATATACAATTAGAAATAAGAAGAAAACTTTAATTAAATAGGCTAGTTTCCCATCTCTTATGTCTTCAAAAGCAACTGATGATATTTTAATGCCTTTTTACCATTTCAGTTGAATTTAATAGGGTTTTTATAAGTTGTAAAATACTTATTTTGACTCAGCTTATGTCTTTTTATTATTTTACTGTCTTGCTTTAACTGCTCTTACCAAGTGTCTGCTGTTTGTTGTTGACTGTTTTTAAGTGCCTGTTCAACTATGCCTGCATGTCAGATGTGAAGTACTATTACACTTTAGTCCCTCAGTGTAATATCCCCTCTGCTTTTCTTGGCTTTAGAGACTCTTAACACCAATTCGAGCTCTGTTTTGAGAGTTACCTACCTAGCATTACACAGTTCTCAGAACTGCATTTTCAGTTTTTATTTCCAGCTGAAAGGAATTGCTACTCAGTGCCTATTTTGTATGCATGGGTAAGTTATAAAGTCAAGACTTTCAGAAGCTGTTTCAGCAGTATATGAATCTTTGTTTCCAAACGGACTGAGATCAGCCCGAGGTGTGCAACCTGGTTTTTCCTTGCTAACAAGTTTGAACACCTGTTGGTTTCTTGACTTGTGATGTCTGTATAACACTCTTTCACAAAATGCTGCACTTTCTTCAAGTGTTTATTTCTTGCTTTCCTATAATAGAGAAGATATGCAATGTATTTGATGAACAGTGAGGGCAATCTATTTTYAGAATAAGATAAAACCAATTGCAAATCAATGTTCTTTAAGTTTTGCCAAGTATATTCAGATTTTTACAGAAAGAGGACATCTTTAAAATAAAATTTGATGACTGGTCTGCATCTGTAATTAGACTCAGAGGTGCTACATCTTATGCTTTGTTTATATTTGTTTGGATACTGAGCATTATCACTCTTTTTTTTGTAAATCCACCCTGTTGTATACAAATTTGTCTCATTTTCCAGTGTTAGTTTGTGAGGTTTTTTTGTTTGTTTGTTAAAAAATTAGAAAAAAAAATCCATTCCACTTGAATAAAAATTCGTCATGAATATAAATCTTTAATATAACCAGCAACCCTATATAATAGTRTGAGAAAAATTAGTGAAAAAGGGTTTTTATTTCAGGTGTATAACAGGTTGCCTTAAAGAGTCATTTTACTTCTGATTACTGAAACATATCCAGCATTTATACAATACCTCCTATTGTAGTATAACTGCAAACTGTGAGCTTTCAGTGAGGCATGTAGGCAAATTATACTATTTTAGCTTATTGAGGAACTGAAGTGGAAAAACTTTGCTCAAGGCTGAGAACATAGACTTCAGTACAGAAATGAACTTACAAGAGTACTCTGTTCTCTGTCTGAAGAGCTGGTCCTGTAAAATAGGATGAGAAAGTCAGGAAAATGAATGTTGTTGGTACAGAACATGTTTTCTCACTTTGTTAATCTCTTTCCTTTCCTCTGGGTTTCTCGAAGAGCCAACCCACAAGACGGATTGTTGGTATGGGGTTKTTTTTTTTCYCGTGGACTCTCATTATGTCACCTAATTATTTCTCTCCCCTTTATTTCATATGTAACAGCATTTTCATCAGTGTTAGTTTTCCTTATTTATGTGAACACATGCAAGACATAAGGGGTGGCATAGGAATTGAACTCTGCACTAGGTAAGAACTTTTGCCCATTGTGGAAAGGCTGCCATAGTAGAGGGGAAAAAAAAAGAATGAAACATTTTATTTTCTGAATGCCTGAAATAGGCCAGGGAGTGAGTCTTATCTACRGTCCCTCTCTGTGCAGTGAGTTGACAGTGTGAACTGTTGGCTGCATCTGTTTGGAATCCCTTTACTGTTGTAATGCTTGCGTAGGACTGGCATTAGCATATCCCAATCCAGGGGTATTTATTTTGTTTAGATGCCCCTCATGCTCAATTAGCAGCAGTCTGTGACGTGCCAGCTCACAGCTTTGGCTGACAGAAAGTGGAATGACGCAGATACATAAGAAGATCGTTCTTCTCCCTGCTTAAAATTGATTAAAGCAGTCATGGCAGGGTGCTATCCACAACTTCTGTGTGAGCCTCAGCATATTGTGGGACTAAGTGTTACCCCAAAACCTTTGAGAACATACTGTAGGTGTGTTCTGTAGGAAGCTAGCTATGATGCTTGGCTGCCCACCTTACATGAGTATGACTGTAATACCCAGATGCTTTCCCATTTCCTGGCAATCCCTGTGATAAGGAGATTTCCAAATGCCTGCAGCCATTGCATGTGAAGTAACTGACGGATAGATCTCTGATGCACCCATAGGCATAGTTTGCAAATCAGTGTGATTTCGAAAGGACAATACAACTACTAGTGTGTAGTTGTATTGTCACTTGTCATTGTGTTGTTATGAATTGTACAGTACTTGGTGTTTTCTAAAATTGCTAGCTTCTGAAATCAGGTACTAGCAAGACAAAACCAGCTTTTTAAAAGCACAGGAGATTTGTCATCTTCATTCTCCTCTAGAAACACTTCAAAGTCTTGAAAGGCTTCAAAGCAAAAAAATATGTAAGATGTATCTTAAATTCMGAATATTGACTAAAATGTCTTTCACTTTTGGAGAACTATTTCTGATTTTCTGTAATCTTTACTGTTAATATTGCCTAACATCAATGAACTGTGGTATTGTGTGTTTCTGAGTGATGCTTTCCTGAACAGATGTAAATTATTTCCTAAAATTAATTTATAAATCTGGGTCATTAAAGATAGGATCCTAAGGCATAATTAGATGTCTCTATTTAACTGTTCTGATTTCCACAGATGCTAACCCATATCACATTTTGCTAAACTGAATTGTGAGTAATACCTCCTGAAAAATACAGGGTTTAAGAGGCTGCTAGCTTGTTGATTGGGATWTCTAATTTTAAGTGCAGCTATACTTTGATGCACATATACAAGAAAATGATGTTTTTTAAATTTCCAGGATGCAAGAGAATTAAAAAAATTGCAGGTTGGAGAGTGACGAATTTTTGCTTTTGTCTTTTTTTTTTTTTTTTTTTTTTTTTTGAGTAGCACCCTGCTCTTCTTTTGTTATTTTTTCTTTCTCTCTCTTTTTTTTTTTCCCCTGCTGAATAAAGTTAATTCGAAAGTCAATAGATTCTAAATTCTCTGGGACAACTATCTTCTTCCAGCATTCCAAACTTGGCACTACCTGGTCCTGATACTGGGTCTCAGAGCAATTCTGTGATAGACAATGCACAAACTAAAAATTCCAGTCACAAAGTTGCAGCAACTTCTTTCTGTTGGACCGTGTTGTTTGTAGATTATCAAACGTGGAGGAGTATGTCTAGTGAAACTTGTATGCAAAAGCACATTTTCACTTCTGTAATCATGATTTTGCAAACATCTCTTGTTTGTTGCTTTTGTGTGTCTGAGTATCTGAACTTAGACATGGAAAAAGTTTCAAATTATGTCAGTTTTGTTTCAGTTTTGACTCCTGTAGATGTTTTTTGCAGGATTTGCTAATAACTGGTAAAGAGCAAGACTTTAGCAGATGTCATTCATAGGGTACATTTTCCCACTACAAATGTAAGTGAATACCTTTTCTCCAGGAATCTCTTAGGTATCAAAGCTGAGAAGATTTTTATTTCATTTAGTTGGACCATGTCACCTATGAACTTACTTTTAAAGAATACATTATATTATAATTGTCCCACTTGCATGCCAGTGTGTGCAAATGCTTACAGATTAGATTAGAAGTCTATTTACAGGCACTTACTAGTGCTAGTTACTTTTTAAAAATTCCTTTTGAGGGTTCTTTAAGTGATTTAAAGCTAACCAAAGCATCAGTGTTATCAACCAGCTAATGTCCAAAGACTATCCTAATGTTACACAGGCTACAAACATCAGTGGGATTTTGGCTTACATTTATAATTCTGTACCTCTCACCTACTAAATACATTCAAACAACACTCTTAATGATACTTAGGGAAAAAAAATAAAAAAAAACCCAAACCTACCTGAAATCTGTTCAGTTACTTTGTTTTTTTTAAATATTCCCTCCTGAAGTCCTCTGTGAATTTGAGCTGATTTATAATCAAATTTTCTTGGTAGTAAAAATATTTTTCCTTTCATCTATTCAGCACTAAAAAGCTCACACAGGCAACAGGGAGCTGACTAACATAGTA